TTCGTAGTGTTTTGTGTTTTCATCCATCTATTTCTGTTTTCTATCTATTTTCCTCCCTCTACCTTTCTGCGTTGTACCTTTTTACTTTGTTATTAAGAATATAAATTTATTTTTCAGGATATAGTTTGGACTGCCTTCAAGAAAACTTGCAGAGCAAAGATGGTGCAGCGGAATGCATATTCTAGCTCTCATTCTGGTATAAACATATTCTATATGTGACTTTCACGGGAAACAGTTTTCCTCCCCATGGAGCTAAAAAAGTTATGTAAATTATCTGAATACGGAACAAAAAGTTGCCAAAATAATTTGAAATATCATCTGATACTTTGAATAGCTAAAGGTACTGATACAAAGCTCTGCTATTATTCTCACTGGGACATGATATCTAGTCAATATTTTGAGATATTTTTTTTTGATAGGAATAGTAGGCCTCATTAAAAAACCCCTTCATGATTAACAGAACTTGAAAATAGTTCCTTAATCAGCGAAAGGAGGAAAAGAATGCCCTAGGATTTCATTAACCTCAAATAATTACAAAGTAATACAAACTAATCTCCCTCAAGAGATACAAAACCAGAAAGAAACAGCCCTTAACAGAACATAATTATCAACCAATACCAGCCTTAGCTAGGACATCCGCCTCTTTATTGGTTGTCCTTCTAACCCATCTAATAAGACCTTCATAAGCACTAAGCTTTTGAATAATGTCTTTAACAATTTGAACATAAACGACAGGACATGAAACAACATCCTTAACCCAGCCAATTGCCATCTTACTATCACTCTCAATAATCAATCTATCTTTAAACCTATGAGGAATAGATTCATAAAAATCTAAACCCTTTAAGATAGCCTTCAATTCCATCAAAGTTGGAGGCCCCGGACCAGCAGGCTCTTTGAAAGTGCCAAGAATCGAACCAGACATGTCTTTCAGAATACCACCTAAACCACTCCTCTTCCAATCACTCGAAGTAGCCGCATCCACATGAAGTTTAATAAAACCCTTTGGAGGAGGGGACCAAGGAAACTTAGTTGACATCCAATTAGAATGGGACGAGTAGGAATCCACTAAGGAAGGGTCAGCAATAAGATCATCCTTGGAGATAGAAATTTGAGTTTCCTTGGCTAGAAACCATGAAGCAAGCCTGCACCTTGCTAGAAAGAAAATTTATGCTCGATCAAGCTTCCCTCCTTCAAAACATTATAAAATTCCTGGTCTTCCAAATTGTCCATAAAACTACTCCAGGGATAAATGACCAAATAAGAGAGTTGGTCTTCAAGTCATTCCATGCTAATAGGAATCTTTTAGCATCTTCATGAAAAACAGACTGAAAATTCCAATAACCCATGAATTTAGTCCATATTGGCCAAACAACCGAACAGGAAAAAAATAGATGAGATGAAGACTCTTCTTCTAGATTACAAAAAGAACACAAAGTATCATTTATGCCCTGAACACCTCTCTTAACCAGAGCTGTCTTCACTGCCAACTTCTTTAAGATAACTTGCCAAAGAAAAGTCTCTACTCTTGGAGGCAACAGGCCCCTCCAAACAATAGACTTCCATCCGAATCGGAAGTATCCGAATAAGATAGATTGACACATGATTTAACAGTGAAAACTCCTTCTCCAGTCCCCTTCCAAAACAGTCCATCAACAGCATCAGCAGAAATAGAAACAGTCCAATATTTTGAGATATCAAACAGGATATATCAGAAAAGGTAGACACAAAAGGCTGGCCTGAGTGTTTTAGTAATGGCTATTGGTGTTTGTCTCAAGTGATTTGTGAAGTCCTATCATGTCTGTTTAATATCATCTTTGTGTCCTATATCCTTGCTTTTGCTTCCTAACATAATTCATCAATATACATATATTTAAAATATAAAACTAAAAGCAACCTTTTTAGCCTACCTCAAATATAGCTTGTGGTGGATAAATTGAGCATTTAAGGAAATTAGCTTGTTCATGTTGTAGGTCAAGCTTTTGTTATATTCGATACCAGGGAAGTAGCAAAGGATGCTATTACAAAATTGGATAAGGGATGCTTGTTGCTACCAAACCAGAGGTATGATGTAATCATTTCAGTATGTGGTGCTGTACATATGCTATCATAATCCATTCCTAGTTTCATGCTTCTTGAATCAGTGGGTTCAACCTTCATTGTCAAGCTTTGTTGTTATTTGCTAGCAGTCATCTTGACTATTGTACGCTGCACCATGTACTAGCATGGCCTGTACCCCCTAGATGATGGGTTTGGAAAGTTTCTCTTAACAACTTGCACATTGTCATTTTGCCTTGTTTTCTAATGAACTAAGTGTTTGTGATCAGCTTACCTTTTTGTCTTATTAAAAGCTATAGTTTTAGTTTTTTCGATCATATGATCTAATTTTCTGTAGTGTCTTGACCTCATTAGCTCTTTCTCTTATCCCACTTTTTATCATGTATTTTGCTCATTTTCACCTTACTCTTTGTCTGGGGCTCTGTGCTGGTCCGTTTACTTTGAATTTGTCTTATTCATAACCTTTAGATTAATTTGCAGCATGCGGAACTGGCCCTAAGGGCTGTGAGGATACTATTTATCTTCTTTTATTTCTTGTCTTGTAGGCCACTTGTTGCTCGCATCCCAAATCCCTGCTTCTCCAGGAAGCAGTCAATTTTTGCAGGTCATCTCATTGTTGATAAGCTCAAATCTCTACGGGAGATGGTACCTATTTCTCCTCTCTCTCTCTCTCTCTCTCTCTCTCTCTCTCTCTCAGTTTGTAGGCCTGTTTGCTTGGTTAATAACACCCTATGTGACATGGATGTGGTAAATGTGATCTTCTTTCTTCTTTCTTGGTTCTGTTTTTTCTTTTTATTTCTGTTAATTTGTTGCTGGGTATACCCTTTTTTTCACAGAAAGAAGCGGTATCTACTTCACATTGTTCCCAACCTAACACACTTGAATATGATATGGCCATGGAATGGTGCTTGCTGGCAGAGACATCCAATCAGTTCTGGAAAAAACTATACGAGGTTTTGGATTTTTATCATTCTTTTTATATGTTTTTCTACCTTTTATTGCTTTGTGTTAAGTATGTATTTTGGATTTTTTAGCAACAATGGAAAGAGATAAAAAGAGTGAAAGCCAGCTTTAAGTCCAAATGAGCACCGGTATTTTTGTCTTCCCCTAATTTTTGCAAGTACAACCTACTACTCTTCTCTGTTTTAAGCATAATATGTGGTTCTGTTTATAATTGGTATGGCTGCTAAAGTGCTAATTTTGTGTTTAGTATATTCCTTTGAATTAAAAAGGAAACCATTTTTTGAAGCAAACAACCGATGCCAGATTTTCCGAATGAAGGTATGGTCTCTCCGACTATTCCATTTGCCTACTTTTTGGTTAATTTTCTTGTTTTCGTAAAAACAAATTACGAGTGTCTTGATTCTTGAAACTTCTTAGGTGATGCTGGTTTTGTTTCTTAAGTTTGTTACTCTTTTTTTTATTTAATCTTTTGTGATTTTCTATACTTGTGGAAAAATATTTTTGCAGTTGTGAAGCTGTTGGAAGTGGGGAAACTTGATTCCAGCTGTGTTGTCGATGCACTTCAACTAGGTGAAGCATTGTTAAAACTGATGGAATCTGCAAAATGGATGCCTGAGCTGCCAGTGTTGGGCAATCAAGGCAAATTTTGGAAAGAGAAGTAATTATGATTTGCAGTTCAGTTTTAATATGATGGTTGAATCCTCTTGTATATGTAAGCCTACGGGGATGTTGCGTGTTTGTCATCGGATACAACTCTGTTCTTTTTTCTTAAGGTGCTTGTAAATTAATGATCGAAGAAGGAATGTTGTTTTTAATGCGTATGGTATTGACGTTCCTACGACCGAATTCACCTGTCCAATATGCAGTATAGAATTTTGACAATAATGTTTTTTAAAGGTTTGATTTTGTTATTGTCTTGTTTAATAAACATTGAACGTGATGTGGAGAGAAAGAAAATTAATACAACTATATTGTCTAAAATCGAATCACAATTGATATTTTTTTGTCAAATTTTTTAAAACTTAGACCTTATATTTTATTATAATAAAAATTAAATTTAAAAAAATAATCGCGAAATATGATAAATTTATTGAAATAAAAGAGTAATACTTGAACGTGGTTGGTCAGAAATGATGTTGGGGACTTGAATTTTATATAAGATTCACTTTTATAATGAAATGCAAGTACGTGACACCTTGCCGTTGGCATCTAGTTGTTGTAAAGTGTGCTCGATTCATGTCATTGTTTATTTATTTTTGAATTTTAACTGTTGAAGCAGTCACGTAAAAACATTCCGCCTTATTTCTGCTCAAAAAATTAGCTGATACTTAACATCTAATTCATTGGGGGATTTAAGTTGTAATAGAGTCTTCTCTTTTTGCTTGGTTCCGTTTCTTTTTAATTTCTTCTGCTACATCCAGAAAACCTATAGAGCAATTTTAAATTGAAAAAATTGGTTAACAAATTAAATGAAATAAATTGAATAAAAATGTTTTTATAGTAAATTTTTATACTATTTTATAATATTTAAATAAAAATATAAACATTCAAACTTCGTAAGAGAACTAAATACACCGAAATATGAACCAACGTATAATTTACAAGAGGTGTGAGATTTCTAAATAAATTGAAATAATAAATATACTCGCATCGCATCAGTTCAAATAAATTAAAAGATAAACATACTAAATTTATTATAAGATAAACAATTTTTTATTGAAACATGTTTTCGTTACATCGTATGGTTTGGTAACAATTAATCAAGCAAGATGAACGCACGACGTCGTAAAGCTTTCATTTTGATTGTTTAAATCTGACCGTTATTTGAAAAATATATAGAAAGAGAAAGAGGAAAGGACACCACCTGGTACAGAGGGATTCCCACCCAGCCCTTCATCTCACTTTCCCTCCCTATGCTTTGCAGCCTGTGCAGCCTGCCTTGCTTCACTAGGTATCTTCTCGTCTTCTCTCGAATCTAATCCCGACCCGTTTGAAAACCAATAAGAATCGAACCACCGTTTCCGGTTCGGTGTTCATTATCCGAGTCGGTGGGAACCGAAAAGTTTAACAATTTTTTAATGGGTTGCGCTCAGTCCAGAATAGACAACGAAGAATCGGTGGCTCGTTGCAAGGACCGCAAATGCTTAATGAAAGAAGCGGTTGTAGCTCGCAACGCCTTTGCAGCTGCTCATTCTGGTTACGCCATTTCCTTGAAGAACACTGGAGCTGCCTTGAGTGACTATGGCCATGGAGAAGCTGAAGTGCCTCTACTAAACCCTCAACAGATCCCTGCTCCTCTTGACTCTACTCCTCCACCGCCTCCGATGATGGACAATCTCCCTCCACCGCCACCGCTTCCTAACTTCTCCCCTAGCCCCGTCCCCATCAAACGCACCGTTAGTATGCTCGCAATGCCCGTTAAGAGTCGCAAGGAGTTTGATGCTTCCCTCGCTATTGAAGAAGAAGAGGAGGAGGAAGAAAATGATGATGATGATGAAGAAGAACATCACGAGGGAAATGATAATAATAATACTAAGGAAGATTTGAGAAAAGATTCAAGAGGATCCCGTCGGGAAGAGATAACTCCCACAAGGACTCCTGAGAACAACAATATCGACCACCGCCCGCCGCTTGGATTTGGACGATGGAAATATTGAAGCTGCTGGTACAAATGTCGATGCTTTAGAGAACAATATCAATGAAGTGGGGTTTAGCGACCACGGGGGATTTGATAGTGAGATTGAGCCAAAAACGCCGGAAAGGCCTAAGAAGGTGGCGATGGCAGTGGAGGACCCGGAGGTGAATGATGATAAAGGGAAGCAGCAGGTACATATTGAGCATTCGAAAACGGCTCCGGCAGATTTCAGGAGAATGGTGAAGGTTGTTCCCGGTGTTAATTTATTGGAGGTTTTGAATGAGATTGATGATCATTTCTTGAAAGCCTCAGAGAGTGCTCAGGAGGTTTCAAAATTGCTGGAAGCAACAAGGTTGCATTATTATTCCAATTTTGCTGATAATCGAGGTAATTACATGTTTTTTCTTGTATTGCTTTGATCTAAAGTTATTTAGATGTTTGTTAATTTGCTAATAAGTTTGAGCTCTGACAAAACGAGTTTTTTCCCCTCTTCACAACTGATGATTGCACTTGCTTGTGTTTGATCAAAGCAAGAATTTGCCAATATCTTTTATGAGAAAGCTTGAAGCATGTTTAGATCTGGAGAAAGAAATTGTAGTTCTGAATGTGATTTGGTGGGCTTTTTGGTGGAAGGTGGCTTTACATGTAGATCTTTGTTTTCTTTTAGCGCCACGCGAGAATCTGACCTTGACCTTAGATCTTTCTACTTTACCCTTTTTGTTGAAAAGAAGAAAAAAAAGCTGCTAATATTTTGAAAGGGTGAATAGTCATCATCTTATTTGTTGAAAAATGCATATTCAGCTTTAAGGCTTTGATTGGTAGGGTGGAAAGAAAATTAGAATGACGGAAAATTAAAAGGAAAAGTGGAAAGATGGATATTTTATTTTTCTTTCCATTGGTGTGCTCGGTAGGAAGTATGGAAAAATTGAAAGAGAATACAATTTTACTTCCATTCATTGCTTGGTGGAGTTGAAAAATTAGAGTGAATACAATTAAACTAATAATACATATATTTTGAACTAACTCACTTTTTATCTCCTCTTTTCCTCCCAAATTTGGATAATTTTCCCTTCCCTCAATTTTCTTTCCTACCAATCATACTCATATTTATTTTCTTTTCACTTTTCCACTTCCTTCTCCCATCCATTCATTTTTTCATCCAAGCAAGCAAAGCCTAAAAGTAAAAGAAGAACAGTCATATGTTGGTTTGAGATTTGAGAATACATCTATCCAGCTCATAAAGATTATGAATTTTGGTGTATAATCTTGTATTACTATTTGTAATTGCTGTTTTAATGAGAAATCTTTAATAACTATTCCAAGAAACAAAAGGAAATGCTTTGATGTTTTTATATTGTGGACATATGCTGATCGTTTTTGTGATCCTGTTGAACGTAGGACATATTGATCATTCTGAAAGGGTAATGCGTGTCATTACATGGAATAGGCCTGTTAGAGGTATGACGAACTGTGAAAATGGGAAGGGTGAATTTGATTCAGAAGACTATGAGACTCATGCCACTATTCTGGAGTTGTTAGCATGGGAGAAGAAACTTTATGATGACGTGAAGGTGCATTTTTTTATAATAGTTTATTGTTTTCTCTGTTAAAAATTATATGGCCTGCTACTTGCCATGACCGTCTTTATTGCTTCCTTGACAAGCAACTTTGTCTAGTTCCCTCTTTTAATCCATTGCAAAGTACCTTTCAGCCAAATGTATCGCATGAATGAAAGATTATCTTAATCTTAATAATGATATGATATTGTTTTCTTGTTTTTGATGTTCTTCTGAATCTTATGAAATGTGGTCCTGTTTGAAGGAAGGGGAGTTGGTGAAGCTCGAGTACAAAAGGAAGCTTGCTTCGTTAAACAAGCAGAAAAAACACGGAGCTAGTACTGAATCATTGGAAAGAACAAAAACAGCTGTAAGTCATTTACACACAAGATACATAGTTGACATGCAGTCCTTAGATTCAACAGTCGCTGAGTTAATCGAATACGTGATGAGCAGTTGTATCCAAAACTTTTTATGCTTGCTGATGGGTAAGTTTTAATATGGAAATATCGAGAAAGTTGTATATTGTTTCTAATGCTGCTACTAATATCTTTGATGGTGGGTTACGCTTTCTGTTTTATTTGGTATCTGTCTTTATAAGCTTATACGTATTTGTTTTTGTTGCTCCTACGTATTGAACTAGGAAACAGACTTATCACTATCCAACAATGGCTATAAAAATTGACATTCTAATTTGCAGGATGGCTAACATGTGGGCAAGGATGTGCATACATCATGATAGCCAGCTGAAGATTGTTGAAAAGCTCAAATCTCTTGACATTGCATTTGTCTCCAGAGAAACAACAAAGCACCACCACGAGCGCACCACCACGAGCGCACCATCCAACTTCATAGTGTCGTCCAAGAATGGCATTCACAATTTGATAAGCTTGTCACTCGCCAAAAGCAATACATTCTATCTCTGTACAACTGGCTAAGGTTGAATCTCATACCTATCGAAAGCAACTTGAAAGAGAAAGTCTCCTCACCTCCACGAGCGCAGAGTCCTACTATCAAAACACTCCTTCATACTTGGCATGATTGTCTTGAAAAGCTTCCTGATGAGGTAGCCAAATCCACTATTTCTTCATTTGCTGCCGTGATAAAATCCATAATCATTCATCAAGACGAAGAGGTGAAACTAAAAGAGAAGTGCGAGGAAACCCGGAAGGAACTTTTGCGAAAGAGCCAGGCATTTGAGGAATGGTATCACAAGTATAAGCAAAGGCGATTTGGGTCGGATGAAACAGATGCAGAAAGGGGTGAAGATGCAAATGCAAAGGATGATGCTGTATCCGAGAGCCAATTTGCGGTCGAGAGCTTGAAAAAGAGGTTGGAAGAGGAAGTTGAAGCTCATGAAAAACATTGCATTCAGGTGAGAGAAATCTTTGGGAAGTCTTAAAATCCGCCTGCCCGAACTTTTCCGGGCTATGTCGGACTATTCAAATGCCTGCTCTGATGCTTATGAGAAATTAAGGACTGTTAACCAGTCACAAAAACCAAATAGTGCTCCCTCTTAATAGACTCAGCTCTGTTTTGTTAGGAGTGTCTTATTAGCTCATGTAACTTGGTGAATTCCAGTTTTGGCAATGCAATGATGCAATGATGCAGTGTGTTATTTAGATACCTATGCGCAAAAGAATCGGTTCCAACTTAGGTAAATGCCAAGTCAGGATGAGGACATGCACATGACATCATTAGAATACACTGATAAAACCATTGCCTACCATTCCAATTTAAAATCTAATCCGGGAATTTATTGAATGATTTCAGTTTATTGAATGATTTCAGTGTTAAAAGAAAATTATTCTCTCTAAAGATTTTAGGTTCAACTAATTATATTTATAGGATGTGTATGATAATATTCGCAATGATTAAAAAAGATTTTAAACATGTACTTCACCTTAAACTATTAAAAAGGTCTAATTCTTGGAAAAATCTTATCACCTTCACTTCTCATGTTTACCTGTATTAAAAAAATCTTCCGGCGGTTTCACTTTTGACTCTTAAGGCTGAAAAATGTAGGCCTATCTTACCAGTTTTTACCTTTAACTTTGCCTACATTACCTTTAAACTCAAGGTCAAGCCTTAGGTCTAATATTTTTTTCCGTTAATTTGTTTCCTTCACTTGAAAAGATTGATTCCGGTATTATACTTTCCTTCTTTATTCCTATTGGATTTGGGTTAAGGGATGAAGTCCTCATATTTTCATAAAAGAATTAATTAAAATTTTAATTTTCCATTGAATTATTCTTAAGTTGGTCAAAGCCGTTGTCATTTTAAGCAGTCTCGTCATACAAAATATTGAATGCTAAGCCGTTTTTGCACCCAAGTTAGTTGGCTCTAAACATAACTTCACCAATGAACTTATTTGTACCTGGATCATGCATACGTATTATTTATGTTATAATATCACGTTACAAGCGTTTATATAAACCTCAGCATCCCAATTCACCCAACTCCAGAACATGAGTTTGATGCCAAAAAAAAAAAAGAGTACAAATATTCCTTCATTTCTAGCTTAGCCATGGAAATCAAAGTATGGCATAGGCAAAGCTCAAGAAGAAAAGAGACAATCAAATTAGGCCGGAGCTACACGCAACGCGACCAAGATGATAACTTGAAACCAAAGTGGAGAATGTTTTGGAAGAAATTCACAAGGAATAAGATCTTCACTTCCGTTGTTGGATTCCAGGCTTCTTATGACCTGGATGAGTATTCACTAAACTTCGATCAAGGAACCGGTTGGGCTGAACCGGATAATCTCTCTCGGTCTTTCTCGACTCGGTTTGCTGTTCCATCTAGGAATGCGCTGCATTCATGTGAGTGAAAATGAACCATAATAGCTATGGAAGTTGCAGTCCACCATGAGTTTAATAGCTATGAAACATAATAGATCTGTTTTGAGGCATTGACACTGCCAGGGCAAAGCCATCTTTGATGGTGGATCCCCTGGTAGCTCATTTTCAGCATTTAAATTATGCACTAAAGTCAATCAAGCAAAAATAAGAAATTATTATTTTATGACAGCAAACCTATAAAACTGATCAAGGAAAATGCTAGATGATCACACATTCCTTGTAGTCAACTACTTTTAAAAGGATTCCTTTCATGATGACATAACTTTGATTCCTTCACTTTTCGGTATAGATTTTGTATATTTATCTCAAAGATTCTCCAAGCAGGGATTCATCATTCTTTATCATATAAATCAGTGTTGGAAATTGAAATCTGTGTTAAACCATGGAAGTTTTCAAGGAGAAAAGCAAAGGCAACTTTTGCTTTTGATCTGCACTTTAAATGAATATTTTTAATCAATTAATTGTAAAGTATCAGAATCACTTTATAATGATGAAATCAACTCAATCGGTATCACTTTAAAGTCATAAGAATATGATGAATTACTATAATGCAATCATTATATTATATTATGATCATAATTAATTATGAATTATTTATATAATGTGTATGAGATTAATTAA